CACACACTCACACACACACACACACACACACACACACACACGCATATACACACATACACACATACACACACACACACACACACACAGGCAGACACATACACACACGCACATAAACGTAAATGCAAACGCACGCATGCTCATACGCTCACCCTACACGCTCTCCCACTTAATTGATATCTAAAAGATTGATTGATTGAATAATGCACTGTAAGGAAAAGTCAGCCCACCCCATTATACTCAACGTCTTGACATCCCGAACAATGGGGGCATTTTCTTTGTGGCAGCATCAGCCTGGAGGTCTATAGCTTAGAGCAATAGCCTGTCCGGAGCTGTACAGCGGCACAGACAAAGACCTGAATGGGGAATAGCATTAGTGCCAACCGCAGGTCTCTGCAAGGACATCAATAGTTACGCCAGCACCGCACAACAGCGCGTGCTGCTTCCATAGAGATGTACGGACTCCGTAGTTCCACGACTGCTTCCAGGTCACACCCATCCTCCACTCCCCTCCCGGACTCCCCCTCCCTGCTCCTTTTTCTAACCAGTAGACTACTTTTTTGTTCACCCACCCCCTCAACCCCCCCCCTTTAAGATAAAAAAATAATTAAAAACCTCAAAATCAATACCTTCTCAGATCGGACACAAATTAAACCAAAAAATTAATAAAATTCCACTGATGAAGCACCTGCAAGGTGTCACAGTATTGTAAAAGTGAGTGAAAGAGGGCACTGCAAAAGCTCAGAATCATATTTTTTGTCTAAGAAGGGACCCCCCCCCAAAAAAAAACAACAACAAAACAAAACAAAAAAACCCAAAACAAAACCCCTAATTTTTCAGAAATTCCGTTTGCCCCTTTTAAACAAACTGACCTTTCTGTTAGGAGAATGCATCACAGGGGCTGGTGGAGATGGAGGCCCTCGAGGGATCTTCTTGTTCACCCTGAAGCCAAACATATAATTATGAGGCACACAAAGGGAAAAAAGTTTTATACAGTAGCTTAGATAAGACAAAAAGACCAGCTAGGAGGTCAGTCTTCAGGATCTGCAGTCAATGGAAAACTAAACAATGAAGGCAATGACCTTAAAAAAAAAAAAAAATTTTTTTTGGAGGAATATCACAAACGAAAGCATACAATTCTATACTAGTTTAACAAGAAATAAAGTCTTTTAGAGAAGCAGATATTGTGATTGTGCAAAGATGGGAATATTTTCCCAAAAGGCATTCCAGAGACAACTAAAACAAAACAAAATAAAAACAGGTTACCGTAACTGTATTAATATGATAAGAAGTTGCAATCTTATTACACGTTTGAAGCAACTGCACTAGCGTCTATACCTGAGTGGGGAAACTTGTGTCGATAAGGGTATAAAACACATGTTTTTTTAAAAGAAAGAACAATCGCAGCAGCAAACAGATACGTTATCCGGAAAGAACATATAGAAAATATAACATAAAAAAAGAATCACCCAAAGCTTGTGATCAACTAGCAGAATGTATTGTACTGCCTTGAACTCACCACCACTCAACTGTACTTAATTCTGGTATTCTAAATTTCTATACGGTTAAGTAAGTAAAAAAGCAGCAAATCTATCTGAAACAAATCTGAAAGAGTTAAGCCAAACAGGGCAATTTTGGGAACATGCAAGGCCTGAACCAAGGCAAAACATCGATCGTTACTGCTTACTTGAATTTCGGAGGCTCCATAGGGTCTTTCTGAGTCTCCACCATACGAATGATACGCTGCTTTGCTCCGGAATTAAAAGCCACACCCTGCTGTGAGGGGGTGTACCTGCAATAAAAAAACTTTGAACATTAGGAAATGTTTAGTAATGCACAAGTCACTATCATAAAAGGAAAGAACCCCCCCCCCCCCTCCGAACAATACTACATGCTGATAATGAGAAATAGTTTCTTGTACAGAGAACGTTTCATTTATCTATTCATCTAGCATAGAATAACTAGACAACAAAATGTATTCACACAAAATAGGTAGAAATATGTTGTCACCTCTAGAACATGCTACAAATACCCCCCCCCCCCCCCCCCCCCGGCATAGCAATAGCAAAAACAAAGAACAGCTGCAATACAAACTTTCCCCCACATGTATTCAATTTCAGCTCACTTCAATCCTCCAACAACAGAACAGCAACCCCTTACTCGGAACCAAAAACCCAACAACGAAACCTCCTATAAATCAATATAAGACATAGGCAAACTGGGGGGGGAGAACCCAAAAGCATTTGGGTCCACCGTCAGGGTGCCAACGAAAACATCTGACCTGATGTACTGGGCAGGGGCCTGTTTCTCTGCGTGTCTCACTGGCATGGCAGCACTGATCTTGCCCGACACAAGTTTCTCCAGTGCCAATCTCGTCTTCTCTGTATTTTCTTCTACACTTTCCTCATTAGGACGTTGCAGAGATGGATCATCATCCTCAATAGGTTTCGGTATCAAGTCTTGGGGCCGAGAATGGATGACCTGGTTGGGGACAACAAAAATCAGTGAATGACACAGAGTCGACAGAATAAATACTCATACAATACATTGAAGAAAAAATAAAACCTTCAATGTCCGACTACTTTGTTTTGTGAACCTAAGAATTCTCTTGTGTTGTCAGATTACACACTGAACATAACATCTTGCCACTTGCAAAGGAAAGATAAAAGTATGGAACAGGGTGTCCAGCAATATTTCCTGAAAAAATTTACTACCTGGAAAAAAATTTACTACCCAGCAAATCAAGCCCCACACCAGCTCGAAAAAGGGAGTTAATTTGTGCCATCAATAACATATATATTATTACATAACATATGGAACGAAAAAAACACACAACAAAGTCCAGTCGACAAAATGGAGGATAGACGGACGATCGCAAGCTTGCTCGCAGCTAGATTTAGTTTTAGTAAGGTTTTTACGGCGCTCGCAACTGCATAGGTGATATGAGCGACAAGGGGTGGATGTCAACAGAGAAGTCCAAACGAGGAATCAAGCTTCGACTATCAAGGCACCCCGGAAATAGTAGTTCACAAGTGTGACAAACATACAAAAGAAGTAGAGGAAAATGACGATAGTAAAGAAGAGGACAGAAAAAGCAGCAGTTTCCCCTACGCGGGTCCAGCACAGTATGAGCATGACATTGATAAGTCAGCCCATTTACAATTCTACGGTGCATAAGAACATGTTAATATCCTCCCTTTGGGAATGGCCTAAAGACGTTTCAGTCAGTAGCACTGCCCTGGTGGAGGTGGGAGGGGGAGGGGTAGATTTATACCTAATGTGTACACACAGGGTGACTGCCAAACCGGCTTCTCCATTTTCCAGGGCTATGTTACACAACAACAACGCGCACACACACACGTAATGACTCGAGTAAACCTATTCAGTGTGAGAGGTGTAAGAACTGTGAGTGAGAGGGCAAGAGGCAGTGGCACTGAAAATCTGCCAGTCTTAAACAGAAAGCTACAATATTGTTCTAATTTACTATCACCCAACAAATGAAACGCGAACACTTTATTTCAATAACACGGCTTGCAAAGTATGAAGGATCCCGATTCCACACAAGGCCTGCACCAACGCGCGCTTTGGAGAGGGCTCTAAATCTAATCAAAATTCTGAAATTTGCTTACAGTTTTTGTCCTTTGGTGTTGCCTTCATCCGCTCCCCCCCCTCCCCCAAGGGTCTCTTTAAAAAAATCAATAATCCCTGCCCTACTCCGTAGTCCTATACTTCGCAACGCTCGACTTTTTAATGAACTTTGGCGACCCCAACAAACGCCGGTGCTCACCGATGCCGTACCTTGTAGTGCCTCGCGCGAAGGTTCACTGACCTGTCACGCTGGCGAACCCGACAATCTAAAAATCGGACAAAGCTTGTATTTTCTTCCCCCCCCCCCACAAATGACAGCACGGTGAAGAGTCCGAGTAATTATTAAATTTTGTTTGCACGGCGACACAGCGTTTATACTGTACAACCTGCATAATATTACAAATGTTGCGTTATCAGTTTATCTTCGCCAAATTTCAGGGTGGTAACGAAAGCGAAAGTAGTTCTTGATTTTCCCGATCGAGCCTCGGTGTCACATACACTTCCACCTGCCACCATAGCCGGCTTTTCGCGTGAAACGTACTCTCGGACGGGGAAAAGGTGAACGAATAATTATATCACAATCGCGACCTGCAAAAATGGAGTCATGTACCGCGGCTAAGGTTCACTGAAAAGTCTTGCTGGCTTCATCACTCAGTGTGCAGGCTAATTTACGACCGTTTACCAAATTTTTACTACCTTCAAGGCAAATTTACTACCATTTACGACCTTGGCGCCGAATTTACGACTTTTTAACGACTTTGCTGGACACCCTGATGGAAGAATAAACAATATCGAAAAAAATTCTTCCGTAAGCAACACAATGCCACGAAACTATTTAACATGATACAAGAGCAAATGAGTAGAACTTTAAGGACTTTCCTCACACGCAAACAGCAGACACATCTTATCTCATGTCCATTCTTCCAACTAATTTAACCGGGGACTCTATGAAGCATCATGTGAGTACACAGGAAACTACTTACCTTGTCTTTTCCATGACCTTGTCTGGCAATGGCATCATATTTTATCTTTCCCTCGGCATCTAGTTGGACAGCAAGAGCGTTGGACGTAGTCTGTTTCTTCCCCATGCCAAGAGGGTATTGAGCAATGGGGACTTCAGGATAAGCACCACCATCACCAAAATCCTGACAAGGAAAATATATAGTAACATGTTGAAACATCTAACCATTAGATTCATACCCAAAGACAGGTATAAAGTGAATAGTGAAACAAAATGAACAAAAATACCTAGACACTGAAGAAGGCAGTTGAAAAGATAGTAAAAAGAAAATCTAAAAATTCCCAAATGCTTCAGTCCCTCCCCCCCCCCCCCCCACCCAAAACCAACCCACTACACAACAACCACCCATTAGCTTCATAGCATGGGAGGAGTCCACAACAAAACAGTCAGTTGGATATTTAACATCCATAAATCTCTTTTCGCTTATTTCCCTTAATACTCTTCATGAGACCCAAAGACAACACTGGAACCCCCACCCCCCTTCCCCTAAAAAATCCTTGATTTTCTCATATATGTACTTCTAGGGTCCATTATAAAGAAAACTTGATAGACCACAAAAACAAAAAAAGTCGTACTTCTTGTGTTCTTGGAATCCATCCCTTCCTGTGTCCATAAGGAGGTGCTGTGCGATTACTTGAGATGGGAGCAACCTATTGAAAAAAAAAGAAAAGAAGAACAAAACACATGACATAAAAGAACATATACACAAGTGCAACGTTTCAATTATCACATTGTGTAAGAACCACTTCAGAAGATTGATAAAAGCACACTGGATGAGCTACATCTCTCAAATAAGCAGCAGTAAAGGACAGGTACACAACTTTTGTATTACTATCAATGCTGCCCAATTAGTGAAATAAGTAGATCACTTCGATAACAAATGAAAGAATGTTTGTTTCCACCTTTATCTGGAACTAACACAGTACTTTACTTTAAAGAACCATCAAAATGCTGCGACCTGGAAGCAAATCAGGAAATGAAGCCTATATGAGTTTAAAGTACATTGCTCACGACAATGTTCTTAGTGCTATTGGAGATAAATTCTGAGGTCCTACTTCAGATATGAAAGAGCTTGAACCAGTTCCAGTGTAAAATAAAGTGCAAATCCATTTAATAGACTAACAAATTCAATGCATCATATGGTGATTTATTTGAGGGTTTTTTTTCATGCAGATATTCAGCATTAGCCTTCACCTCTTTATCTTTACCGAAGGCAACACATATTTTCTTTGGAGTGTTGAAGCAGTAGTCTGAGAATGTATTTACCTCATATTAAATTATGGCAATAAAAGAACATTAAAAAGTGTGAAGATCGTTTCAAATTGAAAACTAGCCATGTCTCGTACAGAATGGTATTTAAAAAATTATGTGCCTTTTGACATACATCAGGACCAGAAACATTGTCATTGTTATTGTTTGATCAACTTAACAAAAAACATCAACACCAATAAATTTATTCTAGCCACCCTAAATATTTTTGAAATAATAAATGTAATCATCAAAAGAGACTGCATGACAGTCCAATTCCCAGTCTTTGTTACGATGGGATTGAAAATTTTCCGTCACAGCTTCACGAAGGACACATCTCAGCTGTTGACAATGAAGTATGGTATTTGTTCCGTAGTTTCAAAATCCAGCTTTTTATTGATTTCAAGTTTTCCCGTGCCTGTGGTGTGATTAAGAGTAGCTGTTAATGTTTCATTCATGACAGCTTTGAGAGAGGGCAAGCCTGCAGTTTGTTGCCACACAGTTTTGTCTTGTCACGAGGGACACAGTTGTCTAAATTTTTCTTTGTGCAAAAAGAGCACCTTGGCTACCATTTGCTGGTCATTGGCTTTGATTGCCTCTTCAGAGAAAAAGAGGAGAAGAAAAGAAATCACTTGTACAAATTACCACTCCTCCCTTTGCATTTTTACTACCAAAAAACATCTTATATGCAGTATCCTAGAGGACAATGTGTCTATGATGACAACTTTTCTGCTGGACAATGGGTGGTTGTCCTGGATGGAGAGACTCGGCTGCACACGAAAAACAAAACTATTTTACTTTTATAGCTTTTTACTGATGGAGCCCACCTCTTCTTCGAGCTTTTTTGTTCCTTGAAGTTTATTCTCTAATAATCTTGTAACATAAAACTTACCTGCATCTGGGCTCTAATACTTCTTTCTTCATCATCTCTATCAAATCGTTGCACCGGAGCAGGCAGAATGCTGAAAGACAAAAAAATCTCACTTTATGGAGTTATCAATAAAATAAATACAGTGGAACTCAGATTCAACAAAAAGGAGGTGGATTTCCTGGGTTTTTAAAAATTAATTAAAATCAATTAAAAAATAACTCGGATTCAAAGAACATAAAAGAGCAAGCTCGGATTCAACAAAGTTGCTTGCAGGGTGAACAGTCCCCATTAACTCTAGTCCTGTGGGGTTAACCGGAAGAGGGCTCTTATCGATCGATGACCCACCTACGTCGCCCGTGAGCTTGTGCTGCGGGGCGCCGGGGTCAGACACCGGTCACGCGAGCGTGCCGCGGCAGGTCAGGGAAACACCCCATCTTTTACAGCAAACTGATACGATCAATGAATAAGTGTTACGATCACACGAATAATCCCATTATATCCTCGTCGGTTGATCAAAGACGCTGAGATTGGAAGTTACACCAAATCGAATAACTTTTCCAGAGTTTTCCAGATTTCACACCTATTATGAATGAACTTGCGAACAGCTGCTTATCAACTATCGTTCGAAAGAGGAAAAAAATGGGATAATTTCAGAATATTTTTTTTATTCAGTTGCCCTCAAATTTCTCCCTCTGGTAGGACAATGGTTCAAAAACCACCAATGATTATTTACATCAGGAAACAACGTTTGGTGGAAGAATTAGATCGTTTGAAAAGTGAGGAAAGGTGTTTGCATTGAAAGATGAAAGTCCTATTTCCTGAATATCCTTTCGAGTGCCTCAAGTGTCTAACTGGGTCAAAATGCTCATATTTCATTGGATGAACGTCTCAACCGACGCTCTGTTATCTCTACCAACGCCTCGCGTTGCAAAACAGTGCAGTAAGTTCCAGATGGACACACAGGCACAAGCAGACTGACCCACACACATTTTAGCACACAGATGCAGACCCCGCCCTAAACGAAATGCGTTGCCCGCGCGGGACGATGACTGATCAGGGACCAGCTGTGGAGCGCCGCGTGGGATTGCGCTTATTGGGCAAACATTTATCAGGGACCAGAATCTTAAGGGTTAATGTGGCTTCGCTCATTTTCCTCCCCCAACGAACCTTAAAAAAAATAAAAATCTATTCTTAAAAACCAATTGGCCCAAATATAGACCAGGCAGACATATTTTCGTCATCTATTTTTGTCGCCTTCTGCGGTTTCCCTTGCTAGTAACCCTATCCACATCATTTTTATGCTAGATCTAGAAAAATTCTGAAATTACGCAAACTGAGCCCCAAAATGTGAAATTAAATCTAGGAAGAGGCTAGCCGTACTTAATGACGGCTAGACTGGCAGTCTAGCCGTACTTATTCTTAATAGGATGGCTGGACTCACCATTTACAAAAAATAGGCCTACTGAATTGTATACATTTTTAGTGTGCAGTACCTAAAGTATTTGTATTTGAGACGAAACCAGGTGCCTTAATGACAGTGCATGTATTTTAAACCTCCTGCTTTCTAATGTTAGTAGGGCCTAAGATAAGTACGGCTAGACTGGCAGGCTAGCCGTACTTAAGGACGGCTAGACTGTCAGTCTAGCCGTACTTAATATTGATGGCTGAATTGTAAATGAAATTTTTAGTTTGCAATGCCTAAAGTATTTGTATTTCAGACAAAATCAAAAGGTGCCTTACTGACTTGCATGTATTTGAACCTGAATAATTACTAGATCTAGATCTAATGAGACCTGTGTACTTAACAGGCTTGAGTCGATAGGGCCAAACCTAGATCTAAGTACGGCTAGCCACTTCGTTAAATCTATGCGATTCTGTTAATTTTAACAAAGAACGATAAAGGAAACTAATCAGAAATTATGCAAAAAATGATCAAATTTTGGTAAATTATGGGGTAAAACCACGGGGATAGGTAACTGTCGACTAGAAGATCTCACCATGTTTGTTTTTTGTTGTTGCATTAATTTGTGTTATCTTACTTACCTCAGCAATTCTCGTTCCATAAATTTACACACACACATACACATAAGTGCGCTCACACACACACACATACACATAAGTGCGCTCACACACACACACACACACACCCAAGCAGTCGGCGATGAAACGTAAGTGACGTGGCCTAACGCCCATCGCATGGTAATCGGCAAAGCGGACCCGCCACGGTGAGATCTATTCAACCGACAAGGGAAGCCCCAGAAGACGACAAAGACAGATGGCGGAAATACGTCATCTATATTAATATTTGCGGGAAGATTGAAGAATACCGGACCACTCATACATTATTGCGCGAGAAAGTGGGGTAGGTGGGGCGGGTTGTTTGGGTGGAGGAGGGGGGAGGGGGGGTTCAGGGGGGTCTCCCCCCTGACCAAAGTTTAATGAATAGATCTACCGGTCCCAGATTCTCCATTGAGAGATAGCCTATTAAAAACGGGAAAATTATGAATTCCTAAGGTAGAGACATATAGGCAAAGTCAGTCCGCTGGTCCGGTATTCTTCAATCTTACCTTTGGGCCAATCATAGAGGTGTGCTTGGTGCCCGCTGTAGCTTCATATGTAAATCTAGAAATCTACTAACAACATAATTACATATTACATGTCATATTACATGGCACACAATACGTACACACCCACTTCGACTTCGAAGTAATCAAAGGGTCAAGTGATGCCTTTGCTAAGGTCTTATTTACCAAAAATTCAAAGAGAATCGTGAGAGTGAGAGTAAAAGAATACCCTTAATGAAACAGCGAATGGATGTACGTGGTCTGACTCAAGTCTAATGAATGTCAAATTTTCATTTCATGTCCGACGACGATGTCATTCGTGTGCTTCGACTTCGTCGGCTTGGTCTTCGATATTGCAAATTTCAGTCTTCACACGAAACCGACCCATGATTATCAGAACACAGCAGCATGATTTTCTTTTGCAAACTTTCGAAATAATTTGTTAACCAACCTTGAAAGAGATGCCATGGTGGCCTCTTGTTCTCAACTTGAGAATTATTGTCAACAGTCAATACAGGTCTTGCCAGCTCCTCTTGATTTCCATTGACGAATAGAACTGAGAACTGAGAACACAAGGTGGCGCTTGTTATCTTGAGAGTTCTTGTCCAAATGCATAAAAGAGTTAGGCAGGACGTAAGCTTTTTTCCTCGAAACATAAAAGAATAAGAGTACGGACTCCCCTGAAAATGTAGGCCTTGGTCATTCAATTCTTTTCGACCATTAAAAAAAACAAAAACTTCAGAAGGATTGTACAAGATACAAACTGATGAAGGAGGACTGGTATTCCTTGAATGGGAACCCCTCCGCCCACCCCAACTAAAATAGAGGAGCCAAGGACACAACTTTCTCGTTTGATTATGCAGGAGTAAAAAGGAAGACAAAAGCTGAGAAACAGACGCACCCATCAAACGCTGGCACCCTCACGGCGTTAGGTGGGTAGATATAAGAGAGATAGAGAGATAGAGGGACAGCGAGAGAACAAGAGAGAGAGATGATAGAAAGAGAGAAAAAGGGAGTGCGAGCAAGACAGGGGGAAGAATGAGTGCGAGAGATCGAGCATGAGAAAGAGGGTGGAGAGAAAAGGAGGAAAAGAGAGAGAGAGACAGACAGAGAGAGAGAGAGAGAGAGAGAGAGAGTCGAGAGAGTGAGAGTGAGATTGGGAGAGAGAGAGAGAGAGAGAGAGAGAGAGAGAGAGAGAGAGAGAGAGAGAGAGAGAGAGAGAGTGTGTGTGTGTGTATATGTGTGTGTACTCGAGCACGCCCATTACACGCATAATATGGGTTAACATGCATGCCTTCACTGATCTAAGAAGCCCATGATTAACACAAAATAATGTATGACATTTAAAAGGTGTGTGTCGGCGGAAGGGGGGGGGGTGGATATGATATTGTCACCCACAGACCTGAGATAAAACAAGGCATTATTGAACTGGATGAGAAGGGAAAAAACGCCAAAACGATATCTTGACATCATGGCACATGCATGTTCACAGCACCTTTTATACCAGTCGACCATGTCTGAGAGAAGGCCTATTCATTATTGTAGGCCTTTTGTAATTCGTTAATATAGATTCCACCTTCTCTAGACTTCTTTGTTTCTTTTTAACTACATTATGTAGACGAAAAACATCTTGGTTGTTCATTGTGATTGCATTGGCAGATAGTTTCGCAGAAAATTAAGTTAAAAATTATTTTTTTTAACGCATTATTTATTATACATATGCCTGAGGGTTGTCGCATGAGATGGTGGATGGGTTTCAGTCTCATATTGTCAATTTCACAAAACGTTTGGATGTTTCTGTGATGTGATTGAAGACATTAAGGCATAAGGATGTGATACATTTCCAAGCAAAATTGTAGGCTATGTACAGGGTGATTTAAAAAGAATGTACCGATTTTATAGCTTCAGTTCGTAATTATCGTTATGAGATGAGTCAGTGACCATAATGTGAAATATGAGTTAGGCTATCAAAATTTTTAAATAGCTTTCCCCCCGATGGATTGTTCAGGCTCAAGACCTCGCTCCCTAGAGCTGTGCTTGATCTGCAAGATCGATCTCCAGACCTCACCGTGAGTAATTTTTTCATGTGGGGGAAATATAAAGGATACTACCCATTAACCTTGATGACTTAAAACATCGTGAATAACAACAGTGATCAACTCATAATCCGCGATCCACTGAAACGCGTCTGATATGAAGTCTCTTATCCCATTGATGTTGCCATTATATACGTGCTACTGCTTAGTGACCACATTGAACACTTGTAAGACAGAAAATTAAAGTTGACAGTGAGTACAATTTGTGACGTTGCCTGAGTTTTCTATTGCGTTTCCTTATTGAAATATTGCGTGATGAAATCGGTCCATTCGTAGGCCTATACTATTATCTCGTTTGGGCGTTATCTCAACGGAACGTTTTGCTCAGACCCTATGGAGCGGAAAAAAATGGATGAAAAAGTTATCACAACACCGTAAAGTAAAGTAAACTTCCTGTGTCAGTAAGTGCTGTCTGTGCACCCTGGCCGAAATTTCCGTGAGAATTCAATCTCGGGGCACTTTATAGTTGTGGGCCTATTTACGACAATACTGAAATGGCATGGGCACTTGAGCGGCCGTGCAGAACATTGTAGTTTTAGAAGAACAGAACATATTTTACTGTAACCCTCTTATCCCCAGGTATGTTTAGATCTAGAGAAATGGATCCTACTTTAGTTTAGTCTTTTACTCTACTTAGTCTTAGTGACACTTGACTTTAGTGTCTTAGTCTTTTCTTGGTCTTTAGTCTTAGTCTTTTAGTAAATTTAGATGATCTACTTCAGACTTTTGATAGATCTAGAAATCTAGATCTAGGTATTCTTGGCTAGATTCCATCTCTATAACTACTACATGTTGGGCGCGATCTGTCGATTTGCGCGATCCATCGATCGCACAGAGCTCATTTGGTTGATCGAGGAAACGGGCGACAATCCATCGATTGTTGCAAATTCTGTTGATCAGCGGATCGCGCCTCGCTTTTTGTCGATCTGTGAAATATTTATATCTAGATTCTAGATCTACTTACTGCGCTTTCTGTCGATAAACAATGATGATGAGGTGAATAAAAAAGGCCACCTCTATTCTCACCCGGGGTGAGAATAGTGCAGGCGAGTCTTTCGGCTATTCTCACCCGGTGCGCGTTCACCGTTATAGCCTAGTTCTAGGCCAACAAATTTTGCGTTCACCCTAAACCACAGAATTCTACACTGTGATAACAGAAAAATTGTAGAATTCTGTGCTGTGAACAAACGTTCCATTACAACTGTACTTGTAGCCTACTAAAAGCGTACAATTTTGTCTGTGGGCAGTGGAGAGAGAGAAAGAGAGAGAACAAAACAAAATGGCGACCTGTGTACTTCGGCTCCATTCGAAAAGTTAAATAGCCGTAGCATCTTTGTAGACAACCAAATTAATTTACTTTTGTGTTTTAACATCATTTTTTAACTTTGTTTTGGTCAATTTGATCGTCCACACCGATAGACAGTATTCAGAAAGAGACAGAGAGAGAGAGAGAAGAGGGGAGGAGTAGATCTTGCGAGAACTTCCGGGCGGGTGAGAATAGCCACTTTCATAAAAAAAAGAAAGAAAATTGGTTTACTGAACTGAGCATGTCAGTCTTTGAGTTTTGAGCGTCCTGTTTTGTTTCCAAGAAGAGTTGTGTGTTGAACTTAAAGTGTTGATGGTTGAGTGAGGCAGATAAATTGACATGACGTTAAATTGAGCACCTGCATTCAGTATTTGGACGGATTTGATTGGCTGAGTACTTCACGTGGTGTTGTGATAAATTGTTGTGTGTTGATTAAAAATTTATTAGATATCCACAAGTATTGTTTTCTTTAGAGGACTTCGAGCACAACCAACCTCTCCATATTGAATAAGTGTTCAGAGTGATACTCACCGACCGGTAAATTTTTACTTTCACTCCCGCACACAGATGCACTGTTTCAGGGGTCAAACTGCAGTACTGTTTGCTGCAGATCACACACAAAGCCACTAAAACTGTTGCAAATCAATTATTTTCAAGACAATTTGAAATCTAACTGTAAAATATCAAATTATGGGTAAAAACAGGGGGGCATGCCCCCCTGTAACCCCCAGATTTTCTTTTACCACAGTGGGGCAGGCCCCCCTGGAACCCCCCCGATTGGTCCAAAGCACGTCTATCTCGGTTAAAAACAATGAAATATTTCAAAACCTATTAATTTGCGACGGAAATGAAGTTGATATTCGTGTTCTGCGCATCAATATTTAGTAAAAAATAGACAACTGGTAGCTGAGTGTGAGACGGGAGGGAAAGTAAAAAAATACCCACCGACCTATAACCCTGATTTCAACTTCCGTTATTGTGATGTAGTTAAAGTTATTGTTGTAATTTTTATCTATTCGGACTTGAATGTTTTATTTATTCGGAATCAGCTTCTAAGTGAGTTTTGTGCGTGTAAAGAGATTACATAATATGACTGTCGTCGGGGGCTTTTACGTAAAACCAGAATTAAAACTAGAATTGCCTACTACTACTAGGACTGTGTAATTGTGTCAAAAGTCAAAAGACTGCGCTCTCATTAGATCCTCATAGCAGAACTTGTCTAAGTAGGCCTACACGGTAACTGACAACTCAGGGTCTTTCCACCACCACTACAGCATCATCGTTAGTTCCACCACCATTTGTCTTTCCATTTGTTTAATTTTTGATTATAATGTTGAGTGTTGAGTTTTTCTGTAATGAAAAAAAAAATCACATCGCTCAAAACCGACAGCTGTGGCCTCTTCCCAACACCTCTTCCCAACATCTCTTCCCCCATAAGCCGAGAGTGCGATATCGCTACGCGCTGTTTCATTGGTTGACATAATTAACTTTGCCCCCGGCAAGGTCAGCTCAACTTAGCTTTGTTCATACTAGGGCCAGTTTAGATAGATCTAGTAACTGGATATTAAAGCTCACATCTCAATTGTTATCATTATAATCCAAAAAAGTTAATAAATGCTGGGAATATTTAGAAACAAGGGTCGGAAGTCGGAACGGACATTTTGGACTCAATTCAAACTCGAGACCGAATAGTCACTTAGATTAGTTCATTATTGTAACCCTGACTTCCAGTTACTTCCATTCAGTTTCGGTTTGACTTTTGAGAGTGAAACAAAATTACACTCTGGGCGACAACAAAACATAACAAAACTCAGGGGTAAGATCTATAGAATGCGCAACCAAATGGATCGACAAAAAGCGCTGCGCGATCCGCTGATCAATAGAATGCGCAACAATCGATGGTTTGTTGGGCGTTTCCTCGATCAACAAAATGTGCTGCGCGATCGATGGATCGCGCAAATCGACAGATCGCGCCCAACATATATAATAGATTCTAATACTATCTCCTTCTAGATTCTAGAATAATAGATCTGGTGCTACACTACACCTGTCAACTAGGATCTAGATCTAGATCTACTGGCGATTTTGTAGTTTCGTTCATTAAAGTCAAAAGTCAAAAGTTGACTGCCAGAGACCCTGAATTGCCAGATAATCGTTGAGGCTGAGGAGAAAATCAAAATTCAAGCAAAGAATGGCCCTCTTTCAGCAGTTCCCACCCCCAATTATTATTCGCCGGTTTGGGCCCCAAGACCAAGAGTCAGAGTAGGGGGATTTCAGGGGGGCTCTGACCTAATTTTATATGGAGGGGAGGTGGTTCAGGGGTGCAGGGGGTTCAGGTGCATGCCCCCCTGAATTTTACCATATTTGATGTTTTGCAGTTAGGTTGCATCCCTGTTCTTTGTGTTGCCTATTTGGTCATAAGACTTCCTGATTTCTTTTCTGGATGTAAACAAATGGGTGGTGGACTTTAACGAACGGAACTACAAGGTCACCGATCAACTAACTATCAAGTTAGGAGTGGATCCAGGACCAGTAGTCTGTAGATAGTAAATAAATGTAAGGCCGGCTCTATTTCTCCGAAAGCTCGGGGGAAAAAAACTTGAACTCTGTTTCTCCGAATGGTTTTCGTTTCAAGATTTGTTGATAATTTGCGAATGGAGTGGCCCGTGTGTGTTAGTGAGTGAGTGTGCGTGTGTAAGGTGTAAGTATTTCAGATTTTGCAACTGTTGTTCACTTTGGACGTCACTAATACTTTTCTTAAAATTTGTGTCGAAAATTTTGGCCAGATCGTAGGAACGGAGGAAGGCCAAGGTCGAATTGCCTTCCGCTTTACACCAGGTGAATGCGCACACGCATTGTAGTTTCAGTTTGAGTCCGAATAGCCACGGGATGCTATTCAGACTCAAGTCCGAGTAGCCGCGGCCATATTATTCTGGTAGGTGTAGAGCCTCTGAAGTCATCTATTCTCAGTCCCGGTACCAGTACAGGTACTAGTGGTATATGACACCCAGTGCCGGTTCCACCCAGCACTACTACAAAGGCATGATATTAATCTAAGTGGAAAAACCGACTCACTGTACTGATATATATGTTGAGCTTTTATGTTATTAGTTGAGCACTGCTGATGACTTGACTGATCTTTAATCAAAGTGACCAATTAAAAGATGAAAGACATTACAGTCACCCCCTCCCCCCCCCCCCCCTCCTCAAGCGCCCCAACACATTGCTTGCCCAGTCCTAGCCCTAAGTGTCCAAGGACAGTAAGGTGTAATGCTCTCCATCACTCTCTTTTTGTTCTGCATGAGGGGCCATCTCGCCTAATATCCTGTTGTCTAGACTTGTCTATACTATGTAACTTGTGTTGGTTGTCGCGAAATTTCCCTTTGTCAAGATTAACATATATCGGCATGTTTAGCGGATCAAAGTGTGGGCTTAAAGGATGTAATCCTGCGTTTGTTTAAATTATATGTAGTGAAAAACCCAAAATATGACAAAATGTGCGCTTGAGGCGAGCGTGCTTTTGTATGGCGTGCGTTTAGGCATAGACTTTCATAGATATTCGAAAGACGTAGTGACAGCTAGACTGTCTTCAATTAGTCGGGACTGTATTGACTGTCGAAAGTAATACATGAGGGTCAAAGCGTGGAAGCTCTAGATTGTAGTGCTAAAGCACCTGGGCAGCTAGTGTTTGTATGACACTGACTTTCCACATTGAATGATGATGATCTTTTAATTGAACGAAACTTTTCCTGTTTCTGACTCTTTGCCACGTGAGTGAAACTATAAAGCTGTTGAGGGAGATTGAATGTTTTTATTTTGTTTTGTATTCCAGTTTGCTCACCTGTTTTATGAAGGTGAAGGAGCACACATGCAGACTGAGTTGCAACAAGATCCCCACAGGTACTGCTCTGTGGGGGTCGCAGCCAGATTGGGAGATCTGGTTGGACTGCAAGAAATGGTGTGGCATGGTAGGTTATGTACTATTATGTCATCGGTTCAAAGGAAGTAAAAGCTTATGATCTTGTCCTTGCCTAATGTCAGAAAGATCTTATGGCTTCAAATTTACCTTGTCAGTCCCTTTTAACTTTAAGACAAGTAGTGAGCTGGTGTGTTGGTGTTCAAAGGTTGCTATTTCTGTACACATGAGCATATAACTGTACTTCCATTATCTACCAAATTCTTAAGTAGGCCTACGCATTTACTGTTTGAGGAATTAAGGAAAATATGCAAAGTACCTTTCTGATCTGTTTTTGCTCCGACTAGCAAGGCTTTTATGCATTCTTTGGACTGGTTGGTCTGGCATAAGACTACATTGATGACGTAGATATCGTTATGAACATCATTGAATGTCAATAGTAGACAAATGTGATTTATCATGCAAATTGATAAAATGTGTCGTAGAAATACAAGTTTTTTTATTATTATAATAAAAAAAAAAATTTGTAATAGTTGATTGTTAAGTGAGCTTCATTTAGTGGAGTATAAGTAACTCCTTGTTTTCCCCAAACTCTTTCTACTTATTTATATAAGGATTATGAGAAATTCTCCTATTGTCAGTTGTCGATGAGTTGTCTGGTGTTATACTGGTATTTCTGTTGTTTCTGCCAGGCTGTTTTGCTTTTCCCCAGTAATTTGTAGTTGTTTTTGAATTATGTCACTTGTTTAAATCAATTTTTAAGAATCCCAAATTTGACACTTTTGCTCCTTTTTTTCCTTATTTTTGGTTTTAGTAAAGGGGAGATGAGACTTTCGATTCATGCTTTAGAGGTCAAGTTGATGGTAGAATTTTTTTTTTTTCATCTTACGGTGAAATACTCTGAAAACATCGATATCTAGTTCCCACATCAGCAAAATGAGTACAAATGGGGTTGAACTGAAATAGGTCTGAACAAGCTAAGGGTCTTCAATTTTCTAAGCATTGGCCAGAAATTATCTCTTGACACATATTCAATTTTGGCATTTGCACTTAAAAAACTTCTACAATCCATTCTAGTATTTTGAAAATTTTTTCTCATAAGTTGAATTTTTAGGGGTGGGATTAACATAATTATAATTTCTCAAAATCCATTTTTTCAATCTGGTTGAACCTTTGCATACATTTAATGGGCCTGAAACTGAAACCCCAGTCTAACCCCTTGTGGCAACCAAATGGGATTGAAGAATAAAAAGGTCCATCAGAATATTTTAGTTAATCGCTGGGCTCTTCAGCGGCTGAGTAGTTAGTGAGCTCAAAATTCGCATAAAATGTCAAGCATACGTCTATTACACGGCTTTAAAGTAACTGGTCATTGAGATGTGTCCTTGAGCTAGTTACGATGACCCTAGATAAAAAAGAAAGGGCGCAGCACAGTAACGACCTGCAATGGCATGGTTGCAGTGTGCCTGTGTGTTTAAGTATGAATGTTATTTGTGTATATGTTATTTTGCATGTTACGCCATTGTGAACCAAATTTCCCCAGAGGAATCAATATTAGATTTTTATTTTATCGCTAGGAAATCACTCAAAACTGTATTTCAACTGTACATAAGTAAATTTTGCTGTCTTAGTAGTGCCGTTCCTTAAAAGTGAATTCGTGATTCTGATCTCCTTACTTTTTTTTTCTGGAGGAAATATGAAAAAGGTACACAATAGAAGGTGAACCTGTTATTTTCTTTGATCAACACAGGGAGACCGATAGATGTGTTTGACAACAGGGGTTGGAGCCCAATTCATGAAGCTGCGCATGCTGGCAATACTGGATGTCTGGAATTTTTGCTTCGTCAACGTAAGTCATTGAAGACTATAATCAAAGAGTCTACATAACAAGAGGGCCCACTCCTCTCTTTGAGCCAATTAAAAAAGTGTCCTCAAAATTCGGTGGCACCCTCTTCGCAATTGCGCACCCTTTGCGAACAGAGTTACCCTACTTGTGTTAAAAAAATGAAAGTGAAACTAACACGTTTTTCAATAAATAAGAAATAACATTTCTGAAGAAAGCTTTTTTAAAATGGCTACGCTGACAAAAAACTTCTTCCGGAGGAAGTGGCAACTGTTTTCTTCGTTTAATTTGACTTTAGAATGAGAGGCGAGAGGTCATTAAAATATAAAAAAACCCCAACTAAAACTCCGCACTGAATGAACCCGAACGGCTGGTGAACTGCAGTCGATCTGCGCACGCAAGGAGGTGCTATGCCAATTTTTCTTCTGGAGAAACTAAAGAGAGCTTCAAAACAGACTGAAGCGCCATCTGAAGCAAAGAGTGGACTTCCGGCGGACACTTTTTTGGCAGAGTGGACCATCTTGTTATTTACTATTTATGTTATTGAAAATGTGACAAAGGTGTGGCTATAAATTTGAAAATCTCCCTAGATTTGGAAGAATGTCTCATCGTACCACTGAAGGATTCATTTTTTATTTTTGTTCCACTTGAGTGTGTTTGTGAGAGAGAAGGAGGGATGAAGGGAGGGGGGAGGTTAGAGGAGGGGGGGAACAAGCGTTAACACATTCTTTGATGCTTAATTCCTGGCTTTACCATGTTTAAAAAGACACAACTATTTGGGTATTCTACTTTTGCGTTATCACTTTATAGCTCATAAATGTAAAAAATATCGATAGGTTAATTATTAATTAGTTAGCTTAATATTTGTTCACTTTCCAATGCAGCCGGTGTTGATCCAGACTGGGTGACCCATGCCAAGGAGACAGCACTCATTCTTGCCGCCCGCCAAGGTCAGAGTGATGCTGTTGTGGCCTTGATCAATGCTAGGGCTGATGTGGACTTCACTACAAATGAAGGATATACTCCTCTCTGGGAAGGTCAGATGCTTGTTTGATGAATTTATAGATAGATATATTTCAGTTTGGTGTGGGTTTTTAAAAATGTATTAAGCTGTATTGTGTAAGCCACTGGTTTGAATTTTCTCTTTATTATTTATAGTAGAGGGTTTTACGGCGCTCGCAACTGCATAAGGTCATATGAGCGCCAAGGGGTGGGTGTCAACAGAGAAGTCTTTACAGGGAATCAGACTTAGACTGCTCACCTCTCTAGCTTCAACAGCAAAAGGTCTGCTTCGACTATCAAGGCATCCCGGAAATAGCAGGTCACAGGAGAGTGACAAACATACAAAAGAAGTAGAGGAAATGACAATAGTAAGGGTCAGGAAAGAAAAAGCAGCAGTTCCCTGTTGTAGACCAGGCACAGTTATGAGTGTGACATGAGTCAGCCCATTTACAATTCTACTATGCTTGAACGAGAAATGTCCCCCCTTTGGGAATGGCCTAAAGACACTACAGTCAGTGGCACTGCACCGGAGGGGTAGAATTTTCTCTAATAGTAGTAATAGGTGGTCACATTTGGCAAATCAAAGATGAAGATAGTGTGAAATTTGTCAGGTGTTTTATTCTTAATTGTGGAAGGGAAATTTTCCATGGCATATCATCGCTTTTGCAAGAAAAAAGAAAATATGTTATGTTTTCTACTTCACTTTATTGAAGTAAAGTTAGACAGTTTCTCATTTTCGAAATGTTTATTTAAAATTTTTTTTTGGACTACTTTCAACAGAAAGATTGTGTGTTAATATACCATGCAACAAATTATATCTTTGCCCAAAGTCAGTTTTTCAGTGAAATTGTTTTACCTCAGGTACAATTTTTTGCCTGTGTGTTTAGCACTTCATCCCCCCCCCTACCCCCTGAAAGCTTGAACTGTACTCAGTATGAGGCTGCTTTTTAAAAGACAGCGACATAAGTTTTAGTCGGAACAAGGCCAACTTGTTGTTGAAAAGTGAAGAAAATTTCTCTGTTTTGGAATCTGTGTGAATTTCTTTTGTTGCTCTGCATACCTTTTATGTAGTTTCATGAAAAAATAACTTAACGTTAAGTAAATGAATTTCTTTAAAGCTCAGTAATTAGATTAAAGAATTCAGATCTGTACTTAGGTTCAAATGGACCTTTCATTTCTATAAAACTTATTTTAAATATTCAAGAAAAATTGCTAGAATAATTTCTGATGAATTCGTATCACAACACAATTGAATTTTTAGCAGATGTATGATAATTAATGTCCTAGTCTAGTCCTATTAGCTTGAACACAAATAACATGCTGCATTTCTTCTTTTTTTTATATATACTGCAGCTTTGAACTCCAAGAGCTATCAGTGCTTTAAGACTTTAATAAAAAAAGATGCTGATGTCAACGCAAGGATCTACACTGGCTACACAGCCTTACATCTGGCTGCTGAGAGAGGAAGCACTTACTGTGTTAACATGTTGCTGCAGGTGAGGATTACTTGTTATGTGAAAAGAACTTTGATCATTTTTATAGCGCCAACTCTTGTGTGCACACAGCTCCAGGTGTTTTACACAGTTCAAAGTTCAAGTTTATGTTAAGTGTAGTGTTCTGCCTTCTATTCACTTTTCCTAAGGATTTTTTAATTTAAAATATTTTTATTAAAAATAAAATTGCTCTTTATATATATGATCTGCCATTGTTTAAAATATGAAGTAGCTAAGTTTTGTAAATTATATACTGAAATGCAATTTGTGACTGTTATTGTATTGTCCTACTCGTTTTTAGTGTTTTCATGGCATAGCCTGTTCCTGGAAAAATGTGGCCTTTAATGTGCTGACCGTCCTGTAAACTGTTAGACTCTATGATTATTGTTCATTTGAATCGTAAACGTCTCACATGTTGTATTCAAATTGATATTCTCGATGAATAAAGATTTGACATTTCTTCCAATTTTTTTTCTTTGGCCGGTGCTACTTTGAGAAAGATACGAGAAAGAATTTAAAAATGTCATTAAACTTTTCAAATTCTTTGTTTCTCCCCTTCCCAGCACGGGGCAGATATTGATGTATTTGCTGACCACAACTTGTCTCCCTTGTTCCTGGCGGCCCACAAAGGCCACACAGAATGTGTTAGAAATCTGATTGAAGTTGCGAAAGACAGAGGTAAGGAATATTTAGCTATGTCACCTTTATCTCTATATTGCTTTGCTTTTCCTTGTTTTTCAGAGGTTATAATTCCTAATTGTTAAGTGGGTGTTGAAGGGTGTCACTGGTAAGGTACTATTTCTTTACTTTCCCTCTGTTGTTACTGTCTGTCTTACTTTTTCCTCAGAACTAAATGACCGTTATGCCGATGTGCTTCTCTCTACTCCAACAAACATACCCAATTTTATTTTTCTTGTTAATAGATTGTGTAGGGTTAACTCTTTGAGCTGTGGTCCCCTCTGCTTACAGGGCACTTGCACTTGATTGCCTAATGTATAATTCATAGATTTACTTCTCTATACGCTGGTGTGTGTATTTGAAGAGAGGAATAAGTAGTTGTATGTCAAGATGTGGCCCTACAATGGTTTTGTGTGAGTGTTTTCAAGAGAGATTGAGAAAGTGTTGGTCTTCTATGTATTCAGTGTCAGTGGTTAAGGAATAGTTTTATTATTGGTTTTAAATATGATACAGTGTAATTGATTACGTATAATTGGTATAGATGGGTGAGGAGACGAGAAAAGACCACAATAATATATATATATATTTTTTTAGAGCATCTGAGGAGAGAAATTAATGACGAACCATTAGCACTGGTGTCTGTTTCAAGTGTGGCACTTGAAGAAGAAGATAACTTGATTAACGCTTCAATTCTCAGGCAGCATGCACATCGTGAATGCAGCGGCCACTGACAATGCCACTCCGTTACTAATTGCGGCTCAGGAGGGCCATGATGCTATTGTGGCAATCTTGCTTCACCATGGTGCAGACGCTAACATTGCTGACAACGGCGATAACGCAATTCCACTTCAGTATGCTGTGTCCAGTGGGCACACAAGGTAGGCGCCTTTTGGTTTTAGACACATTTTTATAAAAATCTGGCAATTGTATCTGGTTCTGAAAGGGTCAACTAGCATCTAAAAATGAAATATTTCCTGGGAAAGCTTAGAAGCGACAATACCTGAAAAAAAAATTGGAAACTTTGTGAGTCTATATCTTCATCATGTACCTTCATATTTTATTTGGTCTAGTCTAAGCTTTTGAAATGTGGATTCTTAGGGTCTTGAAGGTCTTGGGAGTCAAAGAAATGCAGGAGCAAGGAAAAGAAAGTGATGTTATTTCTCCTAAAGTGCGACTACCTCTTTCCAACTCTTAACTCTTTAAGGGCGTTGTGAACACATACCAGCAGCAAGCCAAAGGTAACATCGAGACACATTTCGAACCATCATACACGAATCAGAAACAGCAATTTGCTTATTTCATTGCATACCCATTGTAACCTGTTTTTTTTAAATTTCAGGTAAAGAAAACTGAAATGAAAGAAACTGTAAGAACAAAGCTATGCCTTTTTTAAAGTGTCCCAAAATATTGTGTCGTTTGAGTTTCGTCAAATGACCCGAATGCGCATCCTCAATGAAATAAAGAGCACTGTGAAATGCTACAGACCTCTCAATTTGAGGGTTGTTTTACTTCACGTTTATATGGGAACATCTAGTGAGATATAGCCTTGGCTTGGTTCCACTCACGTTTGGGGGAGAGTGGGTGTGTACAGTATATCATCGCATATCGGGAGCAACTTCTTGTGTAGAAATTGGGACTTTCATGGGGCTCTCTGTCTAATCTATGAGATATGAGATTAGATTTTAAAAAAAGCTCAGGTGAAAAAGGGTGGGGGGGGGAGGTGTAGGACACTAAGGGAGCAAACTCACGAATTGTTTAGCTTTCATGACATATAATGCAATTGAGATGAATGATAATGAGATCAAAGACCTTTTTAATCGTAATGGCCTTTTATTCATGCAACTTAAATGTATTACTTTTACTTCGACTTTCTAGAAATATAACGAGCAATTTTTTAATCATTGTGCTTTCCTTGAAAAAATTGTGCGCCGTATCCGATGAACAAAATATGATTTATACCAAAACTTCGGCTGCCAAGTCTACCTGCATCTTATAGGTGCAGGAGTCCTATACACTGATATGTACAGTATGCCAGAAGCATGTCTATGTCAGGCAGATTTAATGAACACTGGAGGGGTGTCTATGCATGGATGTAAGGAGTGGGTAAATTTTGAAAGTAAAATCTTTAAATTTGGTGTTTGTTCCATCTTGCTTTTATTTAAACAAAGACTTTACTTGTGAGTGGAGGCTGCAGCTTGTGATGTTTTTCCTTATTAAATAACATTGTTGTCTATTGTCATATTTTAACCTAGCAATGAACTCAATTGTTGAGAAGATCTTTTCCTCCATGTCTATATCAACAGTCTCAGAAATGAATTTGGTTATGTCGAATAGAGTCAAAGTTGTTAAAGGCACCACCCATTGTCAAGGAGAAAAGTGGTTGTCTTAGACAGGTGGATGTCTTGGTGTCATTATAATACGGAAAGAAAGACAAGGGGGAAGCGGGAAATGGCCATTCATACAGGTGATTGTCATGGACTGGTGGCGATTATAGCAGGTTCGACTGCACTACCTATCGTGTAGTAATTAATGAAACTTCAAATGCTGAAGACCCATATTTATAAATGATACTCTGACATTTCACTGGTTATTAGAAGACAATGTTGTATGGTCAGTTGTATTGACAGTATTTTTTTATCATCCTGACTCTCTGCAGTCTATAGTTCCAACTCTTGCTTCACTGTGTAGGTGGTTGGAGAATGCCTCTGAAGGTCTTTCTTTGCTACACATGTATGTTTGTCTCTTTGTTTTGCGTTTTTCATCTTTTTGAGCAGGTGATTGAAGGGTGCCACTATTAGGTACTATTTCTTTTCTTTCTTTCTTTTGTTTCTGTCTGTCAATCTTTCTTTTTCCTCACATCAAATAACTTTTTGTGTCAATCTTTTTCCTCTTTACTCAGACAAACATCATCATCTCTTTGACCATTCTCATGTTGATAATGTGCTTCTCATTCAATCAAATCTTGTGGCTCTGTTAAAGGTGTGTGGAGCTTCTGCTGCAGCACACAGACATGACTGTGTTCCTGACGCGAGACTTTGACGGGATGCACCCTCTGGTCCAGGCTCTGCGTCACACAGACACTACCATCCTGAAGCTACTGGCTGCCCGTCTCCCGGTGACTCGAATCTGCACTCTGCCCTCGTACCTTCTGCAGGAACTAGGCCACCTGGCCAGTGTCTTAGTTCCTGCCCGCAAGTGCTCCCTACTGTGTCTGCTGGAAGCAGACTGGCCGCCCAATGGTGCCGAGTTTTTGCTGAAGAACAATGTGCTGCCCAACTCCTCCGATGAGGATGAGTTACCTCCTTTGTTGGTGGCCTTGTGGACCAATAACGTCCCCTTGTTCCAGCTTCTGTTGCGTTATCGTGCCTCGCCAAACATCTACCACAAAAACGTGACGGGTAACGTGGCAATGCTCATGGCCTTTCAGAAGGACCTCGAACGTGACTTGACGACGATGATTGTTCGCAACTCGCGGCAGCCAAACTTTCAGATTTTCTTTATTTGGCAGCTTTTCCTCGCCGGGGCCGAGTCGCATTCGCTCTTCGACATCAATGACCCTTTGAACGGGGAAAATGCCAACAGCCCTGCTATCACAAACTTGTTTGGACTCATGTTTCACATGTTTCATCGGAAGGAGAACTTGGTGCCCGTGTTGGCATTGTTGATGTATATCAGTGACCACGCTTGCTTGCCCAGACACATTCTCTCTCACTTTGAGGAAGGGGACAGGAAAAAATTACAAACAATATCAGGTGAGGAGCATTTCAATTTTTTTCAGTCATTTTATGAAGACCATAGAAGGAATGTATTTAAAAGTAATTTACCTCACTGTGGAGATATAACTCTCACAGAGCAACCAATCCGTTCACACATGCATTTGTGTACACACTGGCACACGGGCACACACGCACACACACACACACACATGCACACCCTCATGAACGCACACACACACACTAATGCACACACACTCTCATGTACGCACACACATACACACTCACACATGCTTAAACACATGCATGCACACATTCATACTGTTTCCATCAACCATAGCAATACTGTATAGCACGAGTCATCATTCATAAAAAAACTCATTGTTAGTCTAGTCACTACCAAAGACATCTTTAATTTTAATGTACCAGTACCTGCTGGTTTATAATTGAGCTACTGCTTTTACTATTTATCATTATGGAAGGTTTGGAGTCTGACCGCAGGATCTCGCAGTGTCCTTTGTTCACATGGTGCACTGGGTCAGAGAAATACACATTGGGGTTTAGTAGCTCAACTGTCAACAGGTATGGTGTTTACCTGTCAACCTGGAGATCCAGAGTTTGATCGCCAGCGTCGCATTTTTTCTCATGTTTTTTCAACTCCTGACCCGAGGGTTAGTAGGATTGAGCACCAAGTCTTCTCAAATAAGGATGAACAATTTTGGAGGCTCCCATGTGTGAGATTCCCACGTTACAAATCCTTTGGCAGTTCTAAAATAGAAAAGAGCTGGCCCCTTCAACTGCTGTTCGGTGAAAAAAAGGGAAATCAATTCCTATGAGAACGTAATATTTCACTATATCGAGAGTACCGTTAGAAGCGGTATGTGGCTGCATGTCAGAAAAGTTATCCTTCTCATAACCTTTCTGCGTAAATAATACAGACAAGAGTAAGTTAGCAATCAACGATATGTGGAAATGTTGGGTTTTTTTTTTAATTCCTGAAAAGCTGTCTATTGGGGGAAAAAATGTATGCATGGTTCGCTTTAAAAAAGAAAGAAATTTAAGATAGGTGGTTTGTTTATTTATTTATTTATTTTTCTTTCTGAAAAGCTGTCTGTTGTAAGAAAACATGTCTGCATGGTTCCTTTTTTAAAATGTACAAAATAAATGTGTCAGGAATAGGTGAGGGTAATGTAGGGTTTTTTATTTGAGAGCCTCTGCACAGAGAAGTGAGTGTTTCAGATCTGACAGTTGATGAATATACCTTAAAATTTTTATTGAGATATTTTTTAAAGAAAAAACTGGTGTGTGATGTAAATGTGTTTGTAAGTGTATAATGTTGTAAAAGTTTTTTTCTGGCTTTTTTTATTCAGACAAAACAAACCTGCTGTCTCATCGGTGCCGCCGGGTCATTGTGCACACTCTTGGGAAGGAGAACCGATACTGCCGGACTGCCATTCAGCACCTGAAAATGCCCATCATTTTGCAAGATTATCTCATGTTCTCTGAACTGGGCACCCCTCTTCAGGATATGATTCTCAAATTTATCACAGTCAACCCTGAGGATGGCGGGGATTCAGACCTCTGATGTAACAAAGATGGTCTGTGTGTGAAATATTTCTGATGGTGTCTGTTCCATCTCTGTCGTGTTGCCCCGTAACGATTGTGTTGGTGGTTCGTAAAAAAAGACGGTAAAAAAAACAACAGACAAACTCTGCTTCCAAACTGGCTTGATGTTTCTGTGGCGGAATAAAAGTAAAAGTCCCAAAATATCTGCCTTGGGAAGACTCGAGACTGTTTTCTTTAGGTCTAAAGAGAAATGCTACAATCCTGATAAAAGAGACTTCAATTTGTTTTCTTAAATTGTCAGAACTATCCAATGAATCGTCTGATACCAAATAGACATAAATCTTTACCTGTGTACTGTTCATATATGGGTGTACAAGGAAAGATGTAGTCTCTAGATTTTTTTAAAGTGGCAAGGTCTGTTGTTATAGTCTCTTTAATGAGGCATGTGACTCCTCTCCACATGCAACAAATGTCTGAGGATGTTGCTCACTCAAACATAACCCCTTTTACTTTTATGCAGTTTACAGTTTTAAGAAAACATGTTCATTTGAAATTGGTCAAGTTGTTTTTGATATATAACACCCATCTTTGTTTATGGTGACAAAATTATATGTCTGAGACTTATTTTTCTGCTTTTCAATTTACAAGCAATTTGTAATGAGTGAAGAAAATATTCTCAAGTAGCTGAAAATTCTCTGAGATCGGCCTGACTGAAAAACTCATTACTGGAAGAAGTCTCTCGTCTGAAACTTTTCAGAAATATTTATGTTGTGCAGTTATCTCTGGTGTTCTGGACTTCACTTGAAATTATTTGTTTTTTGAACAGACGACATTGTTTGTTTGAAACCTGAATTTGATACTGTGTATCCGAGTTAATTTCACCTTCAAAACAAGTGAATGCAGTTTTCCATGAACATTGCATAAAGAAAGTCTAATTTAAGACAGTGTGCTCATCGATTTTATTTTTGAAAATTATATGTTTAAGAAAAGATCTTCTCTTTTGCTCATGCCTCCGTTGGAATGATGTACTGTGTGCAAAATGACAACTTAACCAGCACTTCTGGCTTTTGTGGTGCAATGGTAAGGCTCTTTGCCTTTGAACGCTGAAGGCGTGAGTTTGTTACCTGAATGGGGATGTTTTTTATATCAGGTATCTCTGTCTGCTTAGACATTTTGTCCCGCTGAGCCCGGGGTTGGCCCTGACAGGCAGGAGTGAAGTAGTCTGCCTCCTAAATGATCTAATTTATATTAGTTGGGATGTAAAACATCTACATTAAATTTTTTCCCAACTTAAGCTGCCTATTTGATTTTACTTTGTGAAAAAAAAAAGCCATGGTAATAGTAATAGTCAATCTTAGATAAAATGACTGAAAACTGTCATTGCAACTTTTGTGATATTTTTTTTCTTTTTTGAAACATCGGTTTGTTTCATTCAAGCAATGCAACTGTTGTTACCATGGGTTCAGTAATAGTAATTGAAAGTTACAGCCATTTCTGTTCCTGTTAATTCAAACCGGAATTCTTAAGCTTAAAAAGTTCCAAAGTTAAGATAAAAAAAACCCTGCTACATCTTACAAGAACACCAGCTGTGTGATATTTTCAGTTGATAAAAGCAGAAAGAGAAAAAGGTGTAGTCACAATATTTTAAAAAAAATTATATGATCCCCAGTCAGTGATAGTGATGATGGTCCTGAATATGTCCCTTTGCCTGAAAAAAAAAATCTAGATATGAAATTAAATGTGCATCTTCGTAAAAATCAGCTGCTAAGGTTAGATCAGTGAATGATGCTCCCAGGTTCCCACGCACGTGATGGCTAGATATTGTGTACCCCCCAGCCACATTTTGCTATTTCAGTTCATCTGCTTCAGAAGTAATGTCAGTGCAGAACCGGCAACCAAACAGGGAACCATCTGCTGCAAGCCTGCCAAATGCACGAGGCACTTGGAAAGAAATATTGGCCCCCAACCCTAGGGAGAGCGACTCCAAACTCTATGGGGGCCTGAAGGATCTGTGGAAAACAAGTTTTTTCACTAGAGACTGGGTTGTCAATTTAGAGATGAGTGAAAAGAAGATCTACTTCAGAGACTCATAATGATGATCTCAGATATATTTTAAAAACCCAACATGATCAAGAGGATTTAGATGAGCTGTATGGTAATGCACCTGAAAGACCAGCCAAAAAATACCATCACTTAAGCAAGCTTAGGGACCATGACAACAATTTGGTGTCCGTCTTGTGAAATTCTTTTGTTTATAGGCAAATGTTTTCACATGTTTCACAAATGTAGGAGATAATGGTACTGAATATTATTTTTTCAAAGTATGTGTTGATTTATTGCTCCCTTTGCTCCTTTGGATTTTGTTGTTGTTGTAATATCCATTGATAAATGACACAAATTTGAAAAACAATGTGGAAAAATTGGGTCATGTTAAAAATTAGTCACTTCAAAATTAATTATGATAACTCGTTTCTGTTTCTTTAAAATCACACCTCTGTTTCTATGTTTAGGATGGCAATTTTTTGTGTGAATCTTTGAATTAGTATGGACAGAATGACTTTTTTTGCAATACTCTTCATTTGACTGTCAGCAGTGGTAAATTCCGCCCAAATTGCTGGTATTGAGTTAGTGTTTGCGTTGTTTTTAACTGATATCGCTTAGTTTTCAATTTATTAGACATGCTTTTCTTTCAGTCGTGTGTGAAGGAATTATGTTATGACCTTGAATATGCTCACACTGAGTGGCACATATGTGCTGGTGCGCTCACTGTGTCTTCCAAATATTTTTTTTTGTGTTCACATTTTGTATGGGTGCGCATATTTCGCGCATTGTTGGCTTTGTACGAATTTCACCTATAATGTGCACTGTGCATATAAAGCAATTGTTTTATCATTCAGCAGACTTCCGTTGAAAATAAGTAAATGGGACCGTATACGTTTGTGGTAACTTTTTGTTTATAGGTATTGAGATTCAGGTTTTTATTTTGTCCCATTTTCCCTGTTGGTGATTTTTAACTCACCCAGCCCTAATGCCGATAATATCGGTATGCGTGTGCAGCGCTCCAACTCTTATGTCGACAGTATCTGTGTATGGAAAATTTCACTCTCGTGACTGAAAACACTACTTATGTGCGAAGCAGACAATAGCCTAATTGGAAGAGTAACCATTTTTCGTTTGAAACAGACCATGATCAGAAGTGAAAGCCCAAATCTAGAGCAAAGAAAGCTATATTCGTGAACCATGTGAGGGGGTGCGAAATTTGAACGCTCTAGTCTTCCTTTCTTCGCTTATTCGTTTACTTTTTGACTCTGTATATATAGACCTTTTCCCACGCAGTATTGTATTAAAAGTGACACATTTTGCCTTCAAATTTTCAACACACACAAATAAAGGTTTGAATAAAATATGTACCAAATTTGAATAGGCAATGTTAAAATGTTGTCTTTTTTTTCTATTTTTCAAAAAGTGATAAAAATCTCTAAGGAGAGCTGAGAACCTGAAAGTGTAGGCCTAGGGTTGGGTGAGTTAAAGCTATAATCTGATTATAGAAGGAGTATTGGAATTTTTACAACCCAGTAGCAGAGAAAGCTAGGACAGTTTTATGTGATTGTGTTGTTTTTTAAGCTTCAAAATATTATGAGAAGTGAAAAATTCATGGTGTGTTGTTGGTTGCTGTTTGGTCAAATAACATAGTTCCATTTTTTCATCCTCTAGATATCATTTCTCATCCACAGAAGTTTTATCCCATTTCTCGAACTCCATCAGAACATTATTTATGGCAGTCACAAGAAGAAAACTTAGATTTTACTGTATTTAGTAAAATATTCTTCTTTGTACACTTTCTTATGACATCAGTACACTTTTCATTTTCAGATCTTGATTATTTAAAATTGACCAATGAACTGGAAAAAGTAAGCTGGACAGTATGTTTTCTTCTTTGTGGCCAGTTTTAATACATAAATAATGTTTAAGTCTGCCTCCTAATGTTTAAAGTGAGGTGACAGGGACAATAAATTTCCTCCAGAGATGGATTTCTTATAATAGTCCTCATACCTCATTTGTTAGAAATATTTAGATACTCCAATATCTGTTTTTAATCCCCCTCCTTTGTGCTTGATAATTCGTACATCCGTCCAACTGTAGTACAATGTTGTGACTAAGACAAATTATCTATTATCAAAATAGAATCTATACTTATAGAGTGTATAGTGTCTGCCTTGTTTGTGATGGGTTGAACATCCTGGCCTGATTTTGAACTCCCCCCCCCCCCCTCCACCCCCACCCCTTCCGATGGGTTTGGGGATAGGAGTTAGATCCACTGGACAGCAGTAAGCTGGTGCAACTTCTGTAGTGGTAAAAGTCTGTGCTGAGATGTGTTGTTGATGTATGATGTTGACTTTGTGATGTATTGTCTCTGACTCTTGTTTCTGGAGTGGGGGGAAAGATGGAACAACTCTGTACTTTTTGCTCATTTATCAAATGCAGTGTGAACATACTGACAATGGAGAGTCAGTGTCATTAGCTGTCCTCATAGCCAACAACATCCCACTTTTGGAGGATATTGTGTTGCAAGTGTCATAAAAACACTTATTAATACCCAAAAAAACTTTTGGAGGAGATGGAAAAAATAAGTTTACTGAAGATTCCCCTCATGTCTGCACTTCTCTTGTACCTAGGGTTGGAATCATAAAAACAAAAAAGGTTTACACATATACCTGTGAATTGATTGTTTCTCTTGTGCTCAGTGCTGGAATCTTATATTTTGTTGTAAAAGGTACCGTGGCAGTGTTCTCTTTGCTTCCTTGTTAGCCAGCAGGATGTTTTGTATGTGTACAGGTGTGTGTATTTGTCCTGTGGTAATGGAGATGTCATGTATAGTTTTGAGTGTGGGTGTGTGTGTGCGAGTGTGTGGGTGTGTGTTTGGGGTGGGGGGTAGTAACAGTGTCACAAGAAAATTGAGAAACTATTGACCATGCTTTACAGGGTAAGTAAAATTTTAAAACATATTTGGTTGGAGTTACTCAAATTTCTTGTGACAGTGAGATAGAAGATAGGTGTGTTCACTGCCAGCAGGACTCAGTTAAGCCAATGTGCTTATGTGGAGGTTTGAGCGGCCTTGGAGAGCTGCACCTGGCACTTGCAAAGATGTCGGCACAAAGGAAAGTTATCCAGGTTTTACAGTGGTAATGGTCAACTGCTTAAGACACAAATCTTTTACAGCTGCCTATCTTTATGAATTTGGCAGAATCGTTGCGATCTTTATTCAGTTTTACGATAATACGATCGTAATATCCCTGATTCTGATTTTTTCAAATTTTGGCTACCCCAACCCACTGCCAACCTTCCAAGGTGTAAAAGGGAAGCCAAACTACCAGACCCGGATGGCCAGGACATCACAAAGTCACGTGCAGATCTAACTTTAACACCCTCTCTGCATAAAGCCCCTGTAGTCTGTCTGTAGTCCCCCAGTGCCATTTTGATCTTATAGAAAATAAAACTTCATAAGTGTCAAAGCCATTTTATGAATTTTGAAGCCAGATTATTAAATTTATATTTATTGATTGCTAAAATAGATGCTGATGGGTGGGCAGCCCTGTTTTCACAGAGCAAACTGTCTCTGTCTGGTGTTTAGAGAAGCGGCATGGCACCGGTTTTGGTTATGTGGACTGGATGTGACACTGACAGTATGTGGCCTTTGAGAGAGTACGACGTCTTATTTTTGTTTGTAGAGGGTAAAGGGAGATGTGTATATCTGTGGGAGATTGGCTGGCGGGTGCTCTGGTGTGGTTTGCTTCTTCCTTCCTATCAAACATCTATCGTCTTAATCTCCCCTCCTTTTTTGTGTTTGTTACTCTCTTGTAACACCTCTAATCTTCGGCACTTATATGACCTTTTTGTGTTGCAAGTGCCGTAATACGCTTACTGAAACAAAATGTGTGTATCTGTTCCGTTTTGTAAATGCTGTGCTGTTTTGGTGCTGGTGAAATACATGTGTTTGTTTTATGTCAAATGTGTTTGTTTGGTTTATGCAGTTTTATTTTGTACAGTCTTTGATGTCACAAGATTAATTTTGGTTACAGTGTTTCTATTTTGTGTTGTTGTTGTTTTTTTACCCCCAGCCCCACTATCAAAATAAAATAACCATGCTTTTTGGTTTTCTTGATTTTTTTGTTTAAAAAAAAATGGGAAGTGATTGTGGAGATTTTTGTCCCTGTGAATTGCCATTTACAGTACATCACTGTATAACACCTTGGCTCAATATGGGCAGGCGAGATTTGAACCCAGGACCCACTGCCAATGGGGCTATGTGTGTTTTCCTCTTGTCTTTTTGTTGTTTTGTACTTCTGTACGTCAATGAACTTATAGTAAGGTGAAGTGAATGGAGTGATAATTGTAATTGTTAAATGGGTATAAAGTCTTTTACTTTCGGTGTAAAGAGCGACTCTATGCCTGTGGTAAGATTAAAAAAGACTGCTGGGTTTCTGATTGTTGTATGCGCATGAAAGAGAAAGTGTAACTTGAAGTTAAAAACAAAAGCAACTGTATTTTGAGTGGAAAGAAAGAGTTTTTGCCTTGTGTTGCTGCAAGTTGTAAGTGATATGAATAAATTGTACACTTTAAAAAAAATTGTGGCCGATTTCGAGCTATTGTTGGTTCAGTGCTTCTCCCCCATGTACATTCCAGTACTTTGAATTAGACAATATTCCCTACTCAGTAGTTTTAGAATTAATAAATCTTGTTTTTTTAGAATACAGTTGTATAATATTTTTAACACAATGAGGTCACTTGGCGCAATAATGCGACAGTGGAAATTATCTGTTCCGATCACCTGGCGCCAGGCCCGAGAAGTCTGTTGCAGTCAATTTCCTGGTTGGGTGACCAGATGAGGTATTTTGTACTGCTGGCTGTGTGACTGCAAAGTGTTAAACATGCTGCATTAGAGTTTGAATTCTTTTCGGTTTATGAGCATAAAGATGCAAGTTCTTCTGTTATTTTAGATAGGCATGTTTTAAATAAACACATCCCTGGTTGTATCGGTTTTTTTTCTAAGAAATTTGCAATTTTTGCATACGTTAGCTTGGTGCCCTACCCATGGTATACAGGATCCGAACAAATTATGTTTTCTGTTTAGTGCTAATTTCATGTCACCTAGCTTGGTTCTTATACTTTTTCAATCTTTTTTTCAGTCCTTAAAGCCATAGACCTGAGAGTTTATCTTCTACTGGGCTTGGAAGTCAATTCCTTCATTTTATCTTGTCTTTTTGCTTGTAGCTTTATGGAATAGACAATAGCTGCAATACAGGAGTATTGTTTGGGTTAGGTTATTTAGATTATTCGAGAACAGGCATTTTCTTATTTTGTTCTTAATCTTAGTCAGGTTGTAGGCATATAAAAGTATTTTATCTGATCTTGTATATAAATTATATTGAGTTTAACCCTATGCGCCTGAGCGTGAGTACCTTTATCTTTACAAGCATTGACAGCACTTTTCAGCCTGTGGTGGTGTATATATCTTGCTGTTGACTGACAGGTGCTTGGGGAGAGGGATGGGGCAGTGGCAGGCTCAAAGGGTTAAGTTCTTTAACATATATATTTATGCATTTATGGTAACGAGAAATGGGTTTTGCACATGTATAATTTGTTTCGTGTCAGTTCATTTTCTTCCTTCTGTCATTTTGTGCCCATTGTGTTGTTGTTATATAGACTCAAGCTCAAAATATTTGCTTCAGTCAGCTTAACAAAAAAAAAAAAATCTTCTCTGTTCACATACAGTAAGGTGAGAGGTGCGAAAGGGTGTAAAGTAGTCTCAAATCACTATCATATTTCTTACTTGTAATGAATGATATGTTTGGAACACAGATCATGTACTGTGCCATGTATGATATGACTTTTCAAATACAGAATATTACAGTGTTCTTTGATTTGTGTTTGTTCCTTTTTAAATCCATTTTTCAGCCCATACTGGAATGTTCCATTCTTTAACCCTCTCCGTATGCCCTGGGGTCATTTTGTACACCCAGGGTTGTATTCTTCACATTTTAGAATACTTCTAGTATGAAGAACTCTTTGAAACTTTCAGTATTTCTCTAAAAATAATTTTGACAGACTGCTATGCAAAGCGTACGGATCGGATTAACGAGTAAATGTCCTCTTTAGAAAGTGGTGGCTCAAAGTTCCCCATGCCGTTTGGATACGATAGTAAAACACGACGTACGGACAGGGTTAAGAATATTTTGCTAAATTCTGCTTTCTTGACTTAAGTTCTATTACAATACAGTCCGTGCCGGCTTTAAGCACGTCGGCATAAAGCCCGTTTCGGACTCAACACGCTAAACGGCTATTACCGAATTTTTGCTATATAAATTGCACACCGTTAAGCACGGTAACTCCAGCTTCAGGCACGCTTCAAATTTACAAGACAGTCAATTCTTTCATGATGACCTGTCGAAGTTCGAACACAGTTTACACCGCAGCAGTGGAGTGTGTTCATTAAGAGAAACACAAAGAATGTAAGTGATGGAAACACACACTCACATGGGCGTAGAGGAAGGCAGAGAGATGCACGCAGCCGCGCACGTGGACATAGGATCTAATCTAGGGCAAAGCTACACACAGACACAAAAAAAACAGGGTCGGGGAGACGAGAAAGGGAGGCTGCCTGCGATTTCACCTTTGACCCTCGCTATCCATTAATCCTGATTGTGTATCACGCGTGAGGTGGGATGAAGGTGGTGGTTTGAGTGTGGCACAGCGGGCAGTGGTACGCACCGGAGGTTGTAGGCCTAGTGTGCTGTATCGCGACTGGCCGTGCAAATTAAGTTTTCATTTCCCTTTCGACCACAAAACGAAAACAAACGAGCTTATAAAAACTACCATGGCGGGTAAAAATAACAGTGCACACTTTTGCGGGACGGCTGGCCTACTTACAAACAAAGGGAGAAATTTCCTACACATGAAAATCTCGGGATTATGTCTGCTTCGCACTCAAGCACGCTTCGGCATTAAGCACACTTATGCTTTCTCCCGATGACCGTGCTTAAAGCCGGCATGGACTGTATATCAGCGATGAAAAAAATAGGGAAAGCAGAACTTTTGCTTTTTAAAAAAAAATTAGGTTTTATATTTGTGGTTTTTCTTTGCTCAATCAAAATCAAAATAGTCACCATACATCTGGTGCTGTTGGTAGCCAAGTGGTTAGCTACCGGATCCGTAATAGTGAGATTGCAGGTTGAGGGTTCGAGCCTCAGCTCGATAGACGTAACCTTTGGAAAGGCACTTTACACCAAATTCCTGTTTGGCTTGGTCCTTTTGGAGATGGATATTAAACTCAGAGGTCCCGCCTCTTAAATAACCTACTTGTGTTGATAGGGGAGTTAAACCTATACCATTTCGCTATTTTCAACATACATCTACAGGAAAATCCCCCCCCCCCCCCCCCCCCCCCCCGCAATATTGCTTCTGAAGAAAGTGGTAGCAGTTTGAATTCACAATACTGTCAGGCAAAGATAACACAATCAATGGAAATCTTAAATTCACAGATGGCTTGAACAATTTGCCATTTAATGACTAATATCGCTTTGATTTTTCATTAATATTGGTGTAACTGAATTGTGGAAGTTTCAAACATGTTTGTCAATCCCAGACATGTGTGAATTATCTGCACCCGGCTGTTCTTGTCATCAGTGAGCTTTCTGAAAAGAGCACACACTTAATGAAACAGGTTTCATAAAAAGTTTTTAAAAAAAAAGATTTTTATTTCTTTTGACAAAGTTGATTCTGCACAGCTCAGTACATCCCATTGTGAATCAACAAAGAATTCATCACAGCCAGGAAAAATTTATACAGGAAATGTGTAGCGAGGTTCTAGCATGGAAGGAGCAAGTCTATTGCCACTCACATTCACATTTTGCATCCTGGTGATGTTATTATTTTATATACTTTATTTACATTGTAGTAATATTATAATGTTCATATGATTGCTTGTGAAATGACTGTGTCAGTGGCCCTCCCTTAGGTGAAGTAACGATTGCTTTTTTCAGTATCCCACAGAGGTTGTATTCTTGAGTACGGTCTTAAAAATTATGTTACTGTGTCTAAAATGGTAGAGCTGTACAAATTTATTCATCAAAATTATTGTGCTGTTTATCAAAGTTTGAAGCTTGAATTATCATTCCCATCTATCTTTGCTTCATGTCAACATGAGAAATAAAATATGAGTGGTACAACTGCAGTGCTGTGGTGCATCGTCACATTCAAATTTATTATTATAAAAATAGGTATAAAGGATTGTACGGTTCTAATCATATCAGACATTGACCTTTATTGTGTAAAGTCAATGCAGAAAACTGCAATCTACCATATCAGGGGCAAATTCAAGAAAACAACGAAGTCTGTATATGGAAAGAGATAAACATTGATGTACTATCATATCAATGTCAATTTTGGTCATGGGCTGTGGTACAGATCAGCTTTGAAGACTTTAGATTACTGTTCATATCTTTCATCTAAGATCTGGGTTACATACATAGAGAGCAGAAAGCTCTATAAATAAGTACAGGCTAAAAAAAAACCCCAACAGTCTCTTAATTTGAACTATCAAACTGTCAACCCAGCAAACCAAAACAAATAAAAAAGTTAACAACTCCATCCCCATGAAGAAAAGAGAAAAATGTACATGGAAAGAAGTGCTGAACCGACTTATCTTATAAAAAGAGTGGAAAGACTTTTGTAATAGAGCAGGCATAAAGCAGTTAAAAAAAAAAACCAGGAGTCATATTATGCCTGGAATCACAGACATGCTTGCATCAGTTCATTAACAATACTTTAAATGAGTCGATAAACAGTCTACATTGATAAAAATGGAAGCTGAATGCATAGACGGAACCTTGTTTGTCATCCACAGAGAAATATCTATTTGCTCAAGTTTCCTTATGCTCTAATCTAAAGTTGCAGCACTACAGGTATTTCCTTGTAATTGTAAGAACAAAAGACTGCTGCATGCATAGAAATTCTTCTTCTTTGAAGTAAGAGAATTGGAAACAAACAAACAAAAAAAAAGAATATGAAACAAAACTGCAATTCAATAAGGCCACACAGCATTAATCATATGTTCATGAACAGAAGTTGAGTGATCAGGTTAAAAAAAAAATTATCAGTACCTATACCTCTGCTAAAAAGAGACAACGTTTTTCATTTTGCTGGAGTCAAAATTTAAATAAATTCAACATAGGTACTCGCGCATTTTTCTGTGCGCAGCAGCAAGTGACATTTCTTTTCCATGTAAATGTATAAAAAAAACATAATACTTTATACATATCAGGCAAGTACTGATACCGGTATATGCAGTTTGATTTTAAGATATCACTCACACTGTGATATAAAATATGCCTGCACTTTTATTTACAATATACAAAGCTGTTGGAAGCATGATACATGCAACATCCCCATCTTTTCCATAAAAATAATATCAATCAGCCCTTTTCTTGAAAGCTCATGCAGCTTGAAATAAAACTTATTTGATTAATACTTCTTCTTTTTTCATTCCTTGATTAAGCACTATGAAAAATCAACGGGGTCCAGGTTTCCAAAGTTGTGAAAAAGTTTAACATAGCCTGTTTTAAAATTCAATGGAAACAAAATTCAGTTCAAAAGCTTGAGAATGGTTGATAATTAGATTTTTGCTTACTACTCAGATTTTGACAATTTTGTTTAAAAATTGGCAAAAATTATTCAGAAGTGTGTCCGTAAGTTCTAACCATCAAAAGCATTGCAACTAGACCACAACAGAGTTAAGACTCTTCTGCTTTTGATTCATCGGGTACACTGGATTCCACGAGTGCAGTGACAGCTTCTGCTTTTGCCTCTAATTGGCTCTGGCTCTGGCTTTCTTGCGGAGCTGGAGACTGTTTTTCGGTCGGAGCAGCTTGTGCTGTAGGCACTAGGGGTACTGGATCCGAACCATTCGAGTTTGAAGCGGCACGAGACCTCAGATGGACGGAGGTGGAGGAGCTTCTTCTTTTGGGGGAGTTTTGGCCAGATCTGTTACTGTTACTGTTGTTACTGTTAGCGCTCCTGACAACCACTGCACTTTGAGCTTTTTCAGGAGGCGAAGGACCTCCTTCCTGCTGTTGGGCTCTTTCTTGTTCTTCCAGCCGCTGATAATATTCAATGAATTTCTTCTGACTGATCGGGTCCATGCGACTCCATACAAAGGCACCATGGCGCTGAAGGAAAGAGAGAGAAGAAACGGTATGAATAGAAAGGACCTGACATACATTAAGGGTATAAAAAATGCATCAAAATAGCAGCAAGTCTCAAATTCAAAACTATTATTTTCAACAAAATGTGTAAGAGTTGTATTGTTTTTATCTAGATCTAATGATGTTACTGATATTATATTCACAGTGCATTCAGCCTACTTTTAAGTTGATTCAGTGAGCTGCTCTGACAGATTTTATTTACACAAGTTCCTGCTTCTTCTTCTTCCTCGTTCTCGATTTACACAAGTCATTTTGTGGCTGTTGTTAATAGAATGTGGTTCTTACTCCATTTGACTCTGCTTTACAGTAATAAAAAAGAATAAAAGTTACTTTTTTTCTCACTGCCTAGTGATGATTAACTGATAACTTTTAATTTAATTGTGAGTACTATTTATCTACATTTCAGTAAGTTCAAAGATCATGCAATAGTATTATATCTTAGAGAGAGTTTCCAAGATCAAAACGGTGATCAAGTATGCGATTGATACATTATTTTCAACAACACTTAAAAGTATGTAATAAACTGGAAGTATCATGAATGAGGGAGAGTCGAACGAACTGGAAAAGACAGAAAGGGAAAGGAGGTGGAGAGGAGGGGGGGGGGGGGGTGGGGGTGGGGGGTGGACAGTAGTGACAGAGTAAGAATGAAAGAAGAAAAAAAGAGAGTAGTGCATTGCAATATTCGAGCATAGCAGATTAGCATAAAAAAGTCTGACACAGCGTGACAAGACTATGACATGTAAAATCAACATGCACAGGGTATCAAGGAACGAATACTAGTAATACATCAAACATTCTCTAGAGTCGTGAACAGAAGTGCTGCAATAAATCAGAAATAAAGATATTTCAGACTTAGGCATTTCATGCTGAAAAGAGAATGATACAAAGACGGCAGTGTTCTTTTATCAAACGTTTTCAAGAGTAAGGAGTTGAAATACATTGTCACATGCAGGAGAATAATATCTCTATACATATCTGTCAGATAAAAATATTCATGCCAAAAGATTAAAATAAAAATAGTTTTGTTCAAATTTTCTTAATGAATGTTGTGATCTGTTTTAATAACCTAAACATAGGAATAAGAAGTAACACACAACTCAATGATTTAGTTGGTTTAATTGTTACTTTAGTTTATAAACAGATGCAGAAATGTTGATATTTCAGAAGTTACAACAACATAATTACGTTTTTCTGCCACTCTTGGAAAAACATTAATTTTATGTTAACAGTCGTGGATGGAATAAAGCAAAATAAACAACAAAAAAACATCACTGCTAAGCCATAAATGTCACGTACATTATTGATGAGACTTATGGAACATAATAGGCCTACTCTTTATTAAATCGCTTCAACATAAATTTTCACATCATCGAAGAAACAAAAATACTTTCGAAGTACCAGAACTTAAGCAAAAGTATTGACGAACAGCTAAACATTTAACAGCTTGACTACATCTACTACATTTAAATGAAATTTGATTAATGCTTATACCCTTGTCCTTTTATGCTTTGTTTTCTTCTTCTGCATCAGTGAACTCTTCAGCAAATCTCACCTTGGGGTAATTGTAAATGCAAAATTCTTGAAAATAATGCAACACATTGAAAGGAAATGAAGTTAAGTTGCCTGTGATTCTTTAGGATCTTATCTTTTATATATTAAATCACTTACTTGTGATTCAACTACAGTGGCGGGGCGTAGTGAAGGGCTAAAGGGCTTGAGCCCCCCCCCCCCCCTCCCCCCAACTCTTTCCCTACGTAAATGAATGTTTCTACAAATAAACGAGATAATCAGTTAACACTTTCAGAATCTTCTGCCTCCGCCTATTGTCGCACACGGAGAACACACGCACTTGCTCGTTTATCCAATCACTGTAGTCACCGCTTACAACGATAGTAACCTAACAGCCAATCAAATGTGTTTAGGGCTCAGCAAAGGATGAGCCCATTCCCACAGTCCTTTCTTAATGAAACCTTTTTTGAAAAAAGGTAAAAGAAACAAACGAGAGCCTGCGGAAACTGTTGTTAGACAGGGCTCATTCTCTGCAAGCCCAGACAAAGGGGGGAAAGTTCATGACACACTTTCCCCAGAGACCCAGTAACCAAAAATATGCTAACGGGAGCTCGTTTTAGTAATGCCTTGCTTTCATGGCCTAATCAAGTTACTGTTGTATGTGTGCATTTGCGTGTAAAAAAAATTTTTTGGTAACTGTTTTATGGCGCTTGCAACTGCATAAGGTCATATGAGCATGTTTGTGCGTGAGTATGTGTATGAAACATACTCACACATATCTAGAATGTCCCTGAACCAAGGAAATCTTATCTCTGAACTCAACTTACCCTCATTCCTTAGCCCCACCCACATTTAGAACCACCCACCGCCACTGTTCAACTAGTAGTTCTGTAACCCAAACTTATGGTTTTCTCCTACGCTGTATACCATACCGCCACACAGACGAAAATAGAAACACCAATATAGATTAATTGTTATGTTTCCTATTCTCACAATAAAAATTTCATGAGCATTATGAAACGTGTTGGCAAATATCAGAACCAGTTTCAGATCAAGATTCAGAATTTGGGAATTAGACTTTATACCTAGTGCACATTGCAAATCTGATTCATTTGATTCAGTTGGGAATAGCCAGATTTTCTTATCATGGAGGGGTAAAAGCTACCATGTTCGGCACAATCGACTGAATTCAACTTAACTGGACGGTGACTATTCAAAATCAAAGAAACCATTTTTCAAGGTTGCCAGTCAAACGACTTTAGGCGTAGGATGAAAGAGGCAAATCACAATGCTCGTAGCCTATGAGTCACAAGGTCAGGGTCATATATTTTTGTTTGAAAGCGGATAACAAAAATGGACAGTGTGGATTTGGAAAGGGAGATAAAAATTCATCAAAATTTCCCATGTCTGTGAGATTCAAGAATTTCCAAACACTGCAACTGTGATACTCCGTTGCTGGCGCTTGACAACATTTTTGAAGGAATCGGTTGTATAGTGAATAGTGAATTCTATGTACAACAACACCGTATGCTGGTCAAAATTTTTACTGCTTTAACTTCTGGGTCAAATTTGATACACCAAGGGAATGGGTCTGTTCATAGTGTGAGCTGAAGCCATCATTAATTGACTGGACCACACCTGGTCCGATCCTGTCAATGGGTTCCCAGTATATAAGACAAAAATTCATCCAGTAGCATAAAGAGGTCGTGAAGACAAGGCAAAGAGGAGTGAAGTGCTGGTGAAGTACAAGAAGAGTTTGATTCTGAAGGAAAAAAAACCCAACAAAAAACCCCAACCTCATGCCACAAAGCTGGAAGAGTCTTCTTTCCTCCCTTCTATTTGGCTGTATAAGCTGTCACGTAAAAAATGTGGCTATTTTTCAAAATTGGCTTTTTTTTACACAATTTTTTATTCCACATATTCAAGGAACACGTGGTGGAAATTCAGTACAGACTGCTTGAAAAATAAATGAACGTGAGCATACCAGAAATGGAGGTGAGTGAGAAATGTCTTTAAATTTGTGTCGAAAGTATTTTTGGGGGGAAATAAAAGGCCAAGGTTACAATTTGAAGTCAAAACTGGGTCAAGCAAAATCAGCTACCTTAGACTTGAAGCTCGGCATGTGTAGGCTACATATATAGACCCCATACAATGATTTTACTAAAGTACTTGAGATCCCACTTTCTTTTTCTTGAACTACTCATACTATCCATGTCTTTTTTAAAGAACTTCATGTCTTAAAAAATATTGCTATGAATCTCCTCCCATTTGGGGCCTTCAATTCTAAAACATCTGGCAGAAACTGAAAAAAAATGTGAGCCTGTCATGTTCGGCTATGCATTCATTTGTAACAAAAAGAGTGTTTAAACGATAATGTTAAGGCAGTACAACAAATAGGCAAATATTTATTTTAGTAGTTTTAGTGCTCTGAGGATACAAAGCAATAATTAGAATGACGGCAATTCTATACATAGTCTATAGTTTTCAACTTTCATGTGATTACCTGTGATTATCAAAGCTTTTACTTGGTTTCTTTTCTTTGGTAGTACAAAATTGAAAAGATCAGTAATTAAATACACTGTTTTTCTTGAACAGCAGATAGCAAACTGCATGCACACAAAATAAAGAACAGATATGTTCTCTTTCTGCGGCTGTCAAGTTTACAAGGATTCTGTTACACTGACCTTGAAATTGAAATGGATTTAAACTTGATGATCTCAGTACTGATGAAATAGACCTTAGCTTTGGTTACACACTTATATCAGGGGTTCGAGACTCAGCTCGGTCTGATGTTGTAACCTTGGGAAAGGCCCTTTACACAAATTTCCTATGTGTCTTCACTTAATCTTTTTGGAGATGGACTTTAAATTCGAAGGTCCCACCTCTTAAATAACCTTAAAGTGTTGATAGGGGCATTGAACCTCTACCATTTCACATTTTCACAGACTTATAGCTCAGAGGCATTCTCTTTTTTTTTTTTGTAGGCCCTACTGGCGTGGACAGTCCAGCTCCCTCCTATAAATTTCAAGATGATTAAGATTAAGTGAATTAAACCAACTTACTTTTCCTCGAATTGGATAGCTGGGATCTGACCTGCAGTTGTACATGTGTTCATATGACATGCCTTCCTTGTAAAATCTTTGAGATCCATCTTTTTCCCTCAAGTAATTCACGGGAACTGAAACAAGAAACAGTAAACTTTCACAGTGAAAATCTTGTTTCATCGATCTTGAAACCGGCAGTTCGGAAATTTTTCTTCTTTTTTTTTGGTTTGAATTTAATTTGAAAAACCAACTCGTGACCTCATCTTCTTTGAAAGAGCAAGCTTATTGTCTCATTTATAATCTTTCGTTCTTGTAATCCAACTAAATGTACTGAACTTTCAAAAGCAAAAACCTTTGAAAGTGAAAAAAGAAGCATTTTTTTACAACACAAGAAAGGTAAAGAAGAAAGAGGAAAAGCTCAGTTTCTGAGGGTGTATTCTAGCCTCCTTTAATAGATATGTAAGAGACACATTGCTTCTGATACTGGGTCCTTTTCTCCCTGTTCGGCACAATCGACTGAATTCAACTGACCGTAGTGACAGAGTAAGAATGAAAGAAGAAAAAAAGAGAGTAGTGCATTGCAATATTCGAGCATAGCAGATTAGCATAAAAAAGTCTGACACAGCGTGACAAGACTATGACATGTAAAATCAACATGCACAGGGTATCAAGGAACGAATACTAGTAATACATCAAACATTCTCTAGAGTCGTGAACAGAAGTGCTGCAATAAATCAGAAATAAAGATATTTCAGACTTAGGCATTTCATGCTGAAAAGAGAATGATACAAAGACGGCAGTGTTCTTTTATCAAACGTTTTCAAGAGTAAGGAGTTGAAATACATTGTCACATGCAGGAGAATAATATCTCTATACATATCTGTCAGATAAAAATATTCATGCCAAAAGATTAAAATAAAAATAGTTTTGTTCAAATTTTCTTAATGAATGTTGTGATCTGTTTTAATAACCTAAACATAGGAATAAGAAGTAACACACAACTCAATGATTTAGTTGGTTTAATTGTTACTTTAGTTTATAAACAGATGCAGAAATGTTGATATTTCAGAAGTTACAACAACATAATTACATTTTTCTGCCACTCTTGGAAAAACATTAATTTTATGTTAACAGTCGTGGATGGAATAAAGCAAAATAAACAACAAAAAAACATCACTGCTAAGCCATAAATGTCACGTACATTATTGATGAGACTTATGGAACATAATAGGCCTACTCTTTATTAAATCGCTTCAACATAAATTTTCACATCATCGAAGAAACAAAAATACTTTCGAAGTACCAGAACTTAAGCAAAAGTATTGACGAACAGCTAAACATTTAACAGCTTGACTACATCTACTACATTTAAATGAAATTTGATTAATGCTTATACCCTTGTCCTTTTATGCTTTGTTTTCTTCTTCTGCATCAGTGAACTCTTCAGCAAATCTCACCTTGGGGTAATTGTAAATGCAAAATTCTTGAAAATAATGCAACACATTGAAAGGAAATGAAGTTAAGTTGCCTGTGATTCTTTAGGATCTTATCTTTTATATATTATATCACTTACTTGTGATTCAACTACAGTGGCGGGGCGTAGTGAAGGGCTAAAGGGCTTGAGC